TGATGCACCTGGCCAACTCTCATGGGCCCCTGCACCCAGGTGGAAGATCCTGGCTCTGGGCTTGGTTGTTACGGCTGTTCGTGGAGTGAACCAACGAATTGGAAGATCTCTTTCTCTCTCCCTCTCTCTCTCTCCCAATCTGTAACTCTATCTTTCAAATAAATAAAATCAGTCTTTCAAAAAACCCAAAGTGCTAACAGGTCAAGTCCGTCTCATGTTTTCCTATCTCTCTGGTCTCCCTTTCTGCTGTCTTCTTCAACTTTGAAGGATCCATTTGACATATCCCCCAGTAACCCTGAACTGTCTCCCTGGCATGGTCAGTAACCACATCTGCCGCGCCCCTCTGCCAGTCACGTGACTGACTCACACGGTCCAGGCTTTAACGCTTAGACAGTTGTGATGTGTGGTGTGTGTGTGTGTGTGTGTGTGTTTTTTTGGAGGGGTCAGAGGGAACAATATTCTAAACATCTAAACAAGGGGGAAGGTTTTTCCTTTCTTTCTTTTTTTTAATCAAAAGCTGTATTTAGTTTTGTTTGAAAGGCAGATTTACAGAGAAAAGGAGAGAGAGAGAGAGATCTAACATCTGCCAGTTCACTCCCCAAACAGCCATAACCGCTGGAGCTGAGCTGATCCAAAGCCAGGAGCCAGGGGCTTCTTTTGGGTCTTCTAAGTGGGTGCAGGGTCCCAAGGACTTGGATCATCCTCAGCTGCCTTCCCAGGCCATAAACAGGGAGCTGGTTTGGAAGTGCAGCAGCTGGGACACAAACCAGGGCCCATATGGGATGCCGATGCCACAGTGTAGAGGATTAGCCTATTGAGCCATGGCGCCAGCCCAGGAGGGAAGGTTTTTCTAAGAGGGCAGAATTTCAACAAGGAGAGACACTAGGGAGAAGGAATCCCTAAGCTTGAAAAATATAACAGTATGCAGGGCAGATCCTGCTCAGCAAAGAGAATTTTGTTGGATCAGGTGCTCGAGAAGCACCCCTATGTTCCTGGGGGGTGGGGGAAAGGGTACAAAAGAATGTGACAAAAATGAAATTTCGGGGCCCCCCGCAATGGAGCAGTGGTTAAGGGCCTCGCCTTGCACACCCAGGATCCCATAGGTTCGCCGGTTCTAATCCCAGCAGCCCCGCTTCCCATCCAGCTCCCTGCCTGTGGCCTGGGAAAGCAATCAAGGACAGACCAAAGCTTTGGGACCCTGCACCTGCATGGGAGACCCGGAAGAGGCTCCTGGCTTCGGATTGGCTCAGCTCCAGCCGTTGCGGCTGCCTGGGGAGTGAATCATCGGGTGGAAGATCTTCCTCTCTGTCTCTCCTCTCTGTATATCTGCCTTTCCAATAAAAAATAAAAAATAAAAAAATCTTTTAAAAAATCAAATTTCTCTATTCAAAGGCACCTCGACAAATTCTTTGGGAAATAGAAGTAAAAGACAAATTTGGATGCCCCCCCACTAAAAAAAAAATCTTGAAATCCATGCACAGGACAGGTGCTTAACATGCTCATGAACTAGGTGGCATGACAACACTGCTTCCACCCACTATTTGAAGGTGTCGGGTGGTGGAATCTGGACTTTCTCGCAGAGTGCCAAGTAGGCTGTGCACCTGCGAGACAGGTCTGGCTTAAAACTCTGTGGAATGAGGGGACAGACAACGAGCCAACCTGCGGCCACTGGACAGCAAGAAGCGACAGTTCGCCCTTCACAGGCGTTCTCCACCCTGGCTGTGCAGCTACCGGGCCGGAAGGTGACAAGCGGGCACTACTTCCAGTCAGTGACCCCGTGCTCATGTTACACGTGAACGTTCCGAGGTCTGCGCGTGTGATTTGTCCCTTCTGGTCAACGCTTGTCACTTCAATCCACTTTCCAGCCCCACCTCCCGTGCAGTGTGCTTCAGACCCCAGGCCCGTGCATCTATCAGGGGAGCTCTGGGCGTCCTGTAACCGCCCGCCTTCAGACGCGATGGATATTTCTTAGCGTCTGCTCCCTTAGCTTTTGAGTAGCCGCTGTGCATTTTGGCCTCACTCCTCGAGGCCTTCTTGCCTTTGTCCTTTCCAATCACACTTGCCTCAACCTTTTGGCCCCTTATCTGCTTCCTGCACAGGGTCACCCTTCCTCTACTCTGCCAGCAAATGTTGCATTTCCTCAAGCTTTAGGCTCCCTCCCTCTCTCCCTCTCTACTGCCCACAGAGGCAAATGCCTGGCCACCTTGAGCCCCCATGCCGGCAATTCACAGACGGGAACTGGATCTCTCTGCTTATAGGAATGGAGGTTGCCCGGCTTACCACCAAATGAGGCACATAGAATCCTTTCCCCCGGCTTTGTGGGCGGGACTTGAAAATCACTAATTCATGTTTAAGCTGATAATTTTGCATGGCCCACAAGTGGGGTTATAAATATGCAACGGCCATGGTTAGAAACAGGCTTCTGAAGCCCAGCACAGTGGCCTAGCAGCTAAAGTCCTTGCTTTGAACGGGCCAGGATCCTATATGGCCGCCAGTTCTAAACCCAGCAGCTCCACTTCCCATCCAGCTCCCTGCTTGTGGCCTGGGAAAGCAGTCGAGAACAGCCCAAAGCCTTGGGACCCTGCACCCGTGTGGGAGACCTGGAAGAAGTTCCTGGCTCCTGGCTCCAGATCAGCATAGCATCAGCCATTGCGTTCACTTAGGGAGTGAATCATCGGATGGAAGATCTTTCTCTCTGTCTCTCCTCCTCTCTGTATATCTGACTTTCCAATAAAAATAAAATAAATATTTAAAAAAAGAAGAAGAAGAAATAGGCTTCTCCAGCCCTCCTAGAACTACAAAGCTGAGACCCTGAGCTGCCTCCCCAGACTCTATCCATCCACTCCACTCCCGAACAAAAGTAATTCATGGCCTCAAACTCGTGGATGGTGCAGTGACTCACCAATCCTGGAAGTTGGAGACCCTGGAGCGACAACCCTTCTTCCACGTTCAGAAGCTCAAGGTGGCACCATCTGCACACCCACAGCTGCCGTTCCCGGCTCTCCTCGCCTACTGCAAGCTTCCCCTCCTCCTCCATCTTTGCTCCATTTAGAGCAGCATACACTGCGCTCCACCCCGCACAAGAGCCCCTAGGACTTCCCATTGTTCTGTCTATCAACTAGAATCTCTAAGGTCCCCCCACCCCCCTAGCCTGTCTCCTGGCTGCCCCTCCTGCCCCTTGGCTCTCGCCCCTTCTGCCCCGCCATGTCTGAAGTGGCTCACCTTGTTCCCTCCCTGGCAGGGTCACACCCTCCCCCTTGGGGTTTTTGTTTTCTTTCTCTCTCTTTTCATTGGAAAGTCAGCTTTACAGAGAGAAAAAGAGCCAGAGAGAAACACCTTCCATCTGCTGGTTCACTCTCCAAGTGGCCACAAATGACCAGAGCTGAGCCAACCTGAAGCCAGGAGCCAGGAGCTTCTTCAGAGTCTTCCATGCAGATGCAGGGTCCTAACACTTTAGGTCATCCTCTACTGCATTGCCAGGCCACAAACAGGGAGCTGGATGGAAGCAAAGTAGCTGGGACACCCATATGCCTGGTAGTTGCAAGGTGAGGATTTAGCTGCTAGGCTACTGCGCTGGGCCTCCTTGTGGTTTTCTTTCAAAATGCTGTAATCCCTGCCCTTATCCTTGAGGACATGTTCCAAGACCCCCACTGGATGCCTAAAACCACAGACTGTACCAAACCCTAAAATTTTCTGCCTTTTCAATCTTAACCAAGCATTTATCACACACTGTGGCTGAAACTTCAGCAGTTTTGAAGTACAAAAGCTTAACTGGCATAGCTTTCCTGTTCCTTTTCCACAATTCCCTGTACGGAAGATTCATTTTTATCAAAGGCAGTATCAGGGCTCAGCGCAGCAGCCTAGCTAAAGTCCTCGCCTTGCATACATACGCTGGAATCCCAAATGGGTAACAGTTCATATCCTGGCTGCTCCACTTCCCTTCCAGCTCCCTGCTTGTGGCCTGGGAAAGCAGTGGAGCATGGCTCAAAGTCTTGGGACCCTACACCTGCGTGGACGACCCAGAAGAAGTTCCTGGCTCCTGGCTTCAGACGGGCTCAGCTCTGGCAGTTGCGGCCACTTGGGGAATGGATGAAAGATTTTCTCTCTGTCTTTCCTTCTCTCTGTAATTATGACTTCACAATAAAAATAAAAATACAAATTTTTAAAAAGACAATATCAACTTCAACATATTATTTGCCTCTGAAAGGATATTTTTCACAACATCTTAAATGAACAACATGGTTGCTCTTGCATCGGGGGCCATTTAAAAAAAAAGATTTATTGATTTGTATTAGAAGGCAGATATACAGAGGGGAGGAGAGACAGAGAGGAAGATCTTCTGTCCGATGGCTCACTTCCCAAGTGGCCGCAACAGCTGGTGCTGAGCCAATCTGAAGCCAGGAGCCAGGAGCTTCATCCGGGTCTCCCACACGGGTGCAGGGTCCCACGACCTTGGGCCGTCCTCGACTGCTTTCCCAGGCCACAAGCAGGGAGCTGGATGGGAAGCTGGACTGCCAGGATTAGATCTGGTACCCATATGGGATCCTGGTGCGTTCAAGGTGAGGACTTTAGCTACTATGCTATCTCGCTGGGCCCGGGGGGTGGAGGGGGTGGGGGGGGAGGCATTTCTTAAATCAGTGTTTTTTTAAAGCTTCTATATTTTTATTTGAAAGCAGAGTAACATAGAGAGATCTGAATCCACTAGTTCATCCTTTTCCTCTCTTCCAAAATGTCCACAATGGCCAGGGCTGATGGCACCAGCCAGGAGCTTCATCTGCATCTGCCACCTGGGTAGCAGGGGCCCAAGCACTCTGGGTCATGTTAGGTTGCTTCCCCAGGCACGTTAGCAGGGATGTGGATCAGAAGCCGAGCAGCTGCGACTCCAATCACTGTTGACACGGGATGCCAATAGCTTAGGTAACAGCTTAACCCATATGCCTCCATGTCAGCCCTTAACCTTTAGTTTTAAAGTTAATTTTTCTTGGACAGGCAGAGTAACAGTGCTCGCCGAGGCAGCACAGATACTAAAATTGGAACGATACAGAGAAGATTAGCATGGCCCCTGTGCAAGGATGACGTGCAAAGTCGTGAATTCAGAGTCATAAAGAGATCTTCACCCACCAGCTCATTTTCTAAACCGCAACAGCTGCCGTTGGGTCAGGCTGTAGCCAGAAGCCAGGAACCCCGGCCAGGTCTCCCAGGTGGGTGGGCAGAGATCCAAGTACTTGAAGTAGCACTCGTCTCCCAGGGAGTGTGTTAGGGAAGTGCACTCAATCCCAGGTGCAGCTGCTTTGGAGGGACACATTATTGCGTCAAATGTTCCCTAAACACAAGTGCTGTGATAATGCAGCAATGGCTACTGAACCAAAGCTAGGTGGTGTACACAGCATGGATATGTTGGAGACAGGGAGCTCGGATCGGATACCAGGCAGGCAGAACAGGACAGCAGGACATTCCATCAATTACTCGGGAGAGCACCTAATATAAAATGCATGCAGTGTTTGTTTCTGGAATTTTCTATGTGACATTTTCAGACACGGTTGACGATGGGTCACTGACACTGCAGAGAGAGAAGCTGAGGCTAAGAGGATACGGCGGCACTTCTCTGCGTGTCTTCTCTCCGTCTAACCTTTCATGACTCAAAGAGCTCCGTGATTTTTGAGATGAGGCCACATGCCTCTATTTCGAGTTCTCATGGGAAGATGCCTTTTCTTTGCAAAATTAATCACAATCTCAAACTTTCATTCATTGGCAACGTAAAATCTGTGTGCTTTCCTCTCCCAGTAGGCTTTTAAGTTCTATGATAATGCCCGTATTCACTATTTTGTCCCTAGCACCTGGCACATCTAGGTGCCAATAAGTTTGTGTTGAACAAGTCCTGGTTGAGAGGATGACATCTGTGGCTTATTACAGCTGCTCAATAAAAATTTACTGAAGGGCCTGGCAGCAGTGGCCTAGCGGCTAAAGTCCTCACCTTGAATGCGCCAGGGTCCCATATGGGCACCGATTCTAATCCCAGCAGCTCCACTTCCCATCCAGCTCCCTGCTTGTGACCTGGGAAAGCAGTGGAGGACGGCCCAAAGTCTTGGGACCCTGTACCAGTGTGGGAGACCCGGAAGAAGTTCTTGGCTCCTGTTTTCGGATCGGCATAGCATCGACCGTTGCGCTCACTTGGGGAGTGAATCATCGGATGAAAGATCTTCCTCTCTGTTTCTCCACCTCTCTGTATATCTGACTTTGTAATAAAAATAAATAAATCTTGTAAAAAATTTACTGAAAGCACACTTTCTATGTTAGATCATTTTGGCTTTGAAAGGTGGAAAAGTTCAGCAAATGTTTACAAGTGTAGAAATAAAAAATGTGGAATTTTATGACACACATCACAAGGTTCACTCTTTGGGGATATCAGAGGTTACTGTCTATGGCAGATACCAGGAGAGCAGGTTGACCAGATCACATTTTTTTTTAAAGATTTATTTTATTTTTATTGGAAAGGTGGATATACAGAGAGGAGAGACAGAGAAGAAGATCTTCCGTCCGATGATTCACTCCCCAAGTGAGCTCAATGGCCGATGCTATGCCGATCCGAAGCCAGGAGCTTCTTCCGGGTCTCCCACGCGGGTGCAGGGTCCCAAAGCTTTGGGCCGTCCTTGACTGCTTTCCGGGGCCACAGGCAGGGAGCTGGAAGGGAAGCGGGGCTGCCGGGATTAGAACTGGCGCCCATATGGGATCCCGGGCGTGCAAGGTGAGGACCTTAACCACTGCACCACCGCTCCAGGCCCGACCAGATCACATTTAAGTCACCTTTCTGCATACAGGTATCCCATGGTCTGTTGTGGGCTAAGGAGTTGATTAGTGCTCATTTGGGCATGGCAGGAATAGGAACTGGGCTTGTGGCTAAAAACACATAGACTAATTGGACTCATCTCTATCCAATTTCCTGGCTAAATTAGGACTTGGGGGGAAGAGCATATAAGGAGAGGTGAAGGAGCAATAGAGACTTCGCAGAGACTTTTCAGTGCTTCATCCCCAGACCCTCTCCCTGTCCACGTTACTGGCTGGCTCTGCTGGAGCAATGGTCCATCCTTAGTTCTAAGGACAGTGGGCAGCGGGATGCCCACAAGAAGCTAACCCTTGAAGAGTTTCTCTCTGCTTAAACTGAGTCTAATTTTCTCACCTTCTGTGATGGCTCCAAGTTTGTTTTTCAGATCCTCTCTCCCCCAAGCCTTCATCTGGCAGTGCATACTCACAGAGCCGTGCCAGCTCCTCTGCCCACTCTCTGTGTTCCCGCATCCTCCCTCTCTCTCGAAGTCCATTCCCTGCATGCCTTAAATGCCAGGCTTTCTCTGGGACTTGACTTCTGCTCTCCTCCCTTGCTGATTTCTTTCACAGGGACACTAGTTCTTCCTCCCACTTGTGTCCTTCTGAAGGTGCTGGCCCCAGCGCATTGTCCAAGTTGCAGTCCCAAAGCTACAAACTCCGCATGGTCTAGTGCTGCCAGGATCACATACAGACTGTGATGGCTGTTTGCTGATTCTTGTAGATTTCTGTTTGCTTGCTGACATCTGACATTCTCTTTGTCACTGACTTTTTTCCACTTCTGTGTGTGAACCACTTAATCACATCCTGGTTTTCACAATTAAAACTCATTTAGTAAACATCCAAATAAAACACACTCAGTTTTTTTTTTCTTCTCCTGATCTGACCGATAAAGCAAAAAGCCTGGTATTGGGAGAAATTGTTAAAGGAAACCCAAATAAAATGTGGCAGCTAGTTGGGTTGGTTTGCTTAGATTTGAGAGGCAGAGACACAAATAGACACCTGCTAGCTCACTCCCCAAACACCCACAGCAGCTGGAGTTGATTGAGTTGGGCCAAACCTGGGAACCAGGACCACAACGTAGGTCTCCTAGGTGGCTGGCAGGAGTCAGGGTTCTTGAGCCATCACCACTGCCCTCCCTGGGTCTGCAATAGCAGGAAACACAGCCAGGAACCAGCCAGACTGAACCAGGCACTACACTGTGGGACCAGGTGTCTTCATCCACAGGCCAAACATCTGCTCCACTAGTTAATTTTAAATTCAAAGCTAAAAAATAGATCATGAACATATTTCTGCTGCCATGATAGAGGTAACTATTTATTATTCATTTAGATTAGCTCAAATGCTTACGGATGATTTTGCAATGTTAATTTTGTTACAGAAATTAATTTTGTTAAGAAAGGAGTTCAGGCCTTACGCCTTTTGTTCTTCCTAGCACACGTTTTCATAATGTATACGGCAAACAGCTAAGTTAACATTTGAGTGGAAGCGTCTGGAGCATGTAGGAGTAAAAACTTCATCTTTCCAATACAATGTTTAACGCAGTTGCACACACAACTCTGCCCTGCTCACCTGTGTAAATCAAACAGCAGCTGCAGCCAGCCGTGATGTCATCAGACAGCAGCGACTAGCCGGGCGCACTCAGCAAAACTGAGGAGAATTTGGCTTCAGCAATTGTCTTGAAGCAAAATGTCAACATAAGAATTCTTTGCATGCAAAGTGTGATCTATATCTGCATAGCGCTTCTTTGAGCTCTTCTGGGAAGGAATCTTCTCTAATTATTGAGCAATTCTTATGCAATCTTGCACTTTATTACTCACCTGAGAAGCAGAGCAGCTATTTGGAGAATGAGGCTCCCCTGGTATCCCTAGAGGCAGTGGGCAGGCCAGGTAGACCCTGGCCTCCCCCTAACTAGACACCGGAGGCTTCAGGTGAGTTCCATGTTTTCCAAAAAGGCTAAAAAGCAAGACAATGAGAAATTCAGACACTGAAATGGATTCTCTCATGATTTTAATATTAGAAAGCACACCTTATAGGAATTTGAAATTTAACACTGGAGATGTTTGCATTCTGGCATCCAAATTGTTTTCATTATTATAAAAAAAACCAGTAATTCATACAACATGAAAACAGCTAAGATGGTAAATTTTATGTAACGTATCAAATTTTTACCAGAAATTTATAAAAATAAATTAAGTTAGAATTAAAAGGGAGGTAAATTGATTTAAAATGAAATAAATAATTTACTTATTTGAAAGGCAGAGTTAGGGAGAGAGATCTATCATTGATCTTTTACCTGCTGGTTCACTTCCTAAATGGCCACAAAGGCCAGAGCTGGACCGGTCCAAAGTTGGCAGCCAGAAATTTCTTCCAGGTCTCCATGTGGGTACAGAGGCCCAAGTACTCGGGCAATTCTCCACTGGTCTCCCAGTCATAAGCAAGGAGAAGGAACAGAAGTGAATTAAGAGATATCGCAGGACCCCATGCGATAGCCTAACAGCTAAAATCCTCACTTTGCATGTGCCAGGATCACATATAGGCACCGGTTTGTATCCCAGCAGCCCCACTTCCCATCCAGCTCCCTGCTTGCAGTCTGGGAAAGCAGTGGAGGACGGCCCAAAGTCTTGGCACCCTGCACCAGTGTGGGAGACCCGGATAAAGCTCCAGGCTCCTGGCTTCAGATCAGCTCAGCTCTGGCCATTGCAGTCACTTGGGGAATGAATCACCAGATTGAAGATCTTCCTCTCTGTCTTTCCTCCTTTCTGCATATCTGACTTTCCAATAAAGATAAAAGTTTAAAAAATTTTTTCAGGTGGCAGTTAAAGCCACACAGCTATGTCCTTTAAATAAGATTTTTTAAATACAAAATGCAAGACATTTCCTTTAAAAAATTTCTTTACTTTTACTGGAAAAGCAGACTTGCAGAGTGAAGAAGCAGTAGAAAAGAAAGATCCTTCATTCATTGGTTCACTCCCCAAAGGATCCAAAGTAGAGCCAGGAGCCTCTTCCGGGTCTCCTACACGGGTGCAGGGTCCCAAGGCTTTGGGCCGTCCTCCACTGCTTTCCCAGGCTGCAAGCAGGGAGCTGGATGGGAAGTGAAGCAACCAGAACAGGAACCAGAGCCCATATAGTATCCCGGCACATGCAAGGATAGGACTTAACCACTGGGTTATTGTGTTGGGACCAAAACATTTCTGATTACCCATCTACCACTTAGAGATTACTCTCTTTAAAATCGCAATACTCTTCTATTCATCTCACACCCAATAATGTGACCTCTACAGAAAT